CACCTCCTCAGAATCACTGCTGTGCTGCCATACTAACTTCACTTTCCCAAGCGCCCAGCTTCACCATATCTAGATTTTGAATGAGACAGCATTATAGTACACTGTACTTCAAGCCCTCTCTCAAACAGGGAGTCAGGGACAAGAACTACCACAGCACTGATCAGTGCTATGATAAGGTACCTCTTGGGGAGGGCATGACATGTATGCCCAAGCAGCCCTTCCACCAAAACTGATGATTTGAAAAGTCTGATATGAGCAGAGAGAAAAGTTTTGGAGAGAGAAACCACAGAGCACTACAAAAAAAAGACCATAGCTTAATATTCAGGTGACTGGACAAGTACCTTTCACATCCTTAGTTCCAAAGGGCTATACACAAATCCATGCTCATACTACCTGCCAAGATGTTTGTCTCACAGCACTTAGACAACATTCTACATTCAGGTGGCAGTCAAACGCTGCCATCAGCCCCCCTAAGCTTCCAAAAGGCACAGAGGAAATAAAGGTCACAATTATTGTGACAGGACAACACACCCTGCACAAAAAAAGCCTTGCAAAAACTTGGCTGGGAAAGAATGAAGAGTTAGAAACGTAAGAGTATAAACCCAGCCTTAAGCATCACCACCTGGCTCCTCCAGCAGCTTGTGCACAGTGTAGATTTGGCAAGAACTCTGCCTTTTATACTATCTTGTAAGTGCTGGGAGACAGGGTCCCCACAAAAAGATGTCTGAACCTGCCCAGCTGTTCTATCCAGAGTGCTTCTTCTGAAAGAGGAAGTACAGCACAGATGAAAGGGAATGAACAGAAGTCACTGCCAAGCCCCACAGAAAACTGTAGCTGAAACATGCTCCTGAGACAATGACTTGTGCTTTTCATAGATGGTATCAGTCTCTAACTGTAACCAATTCAGGTTACACTATGGCTGCCTTGACCATTCAAATGTGAATACAGATTCAAATTCACCACACACATGCTGAGGCTAATTCTGAGCCTTGTAGGAGAGAAGACAATTCTTCTAAGAAGTTTGAAATAGACTGAACAAGTGCCTGCCTCAACACAACATATTCCTGTTTCCTGGGTCCACGTGGACAGTGCAGCCTCAAAACCAGCAATGTCCTGCCCCATGACTACAGCTGCAACCTGCCACAGGAACAGAAAAAGCTCAGTGTTGGAACAGCTTCAAGGCTGTGCCCTTTGCTCTTATGGAATAGCAAAGTCCATCCAGCTCACACTTCTCCACAAGTACCAGAAGTTAAAGTTCTACTCTGCAGGTAGTAGTACATTTCCCATCACCATTATACCAGAAAAACTGGCCTACTCTTACTATACATCAGTAAGTTTTCTGTTTTAAAACCAAGACTTGTTAAGAAATAAGATCTCAAAATACGCACTATTTACACAGAACAGTCTAAGGAGAGATATTCACAAGATGTAGTCAGACCTCATAGCAGCCACCCAGTATCTGAAGGGGGCTTATAACGATGCTGGGGACAGACTCTTCATTAGGGACTGAGTGACAGGACAAGGGGTAACGGGTTAAAACTTAAACAGGGGAAGTTTAGATTGGATATAAGGAAGAAATTATTTACTGTAAAGGTGGTGAGGCACTGGAATGGGTTGCCCAGGGAAGTTGTGAATGCTCCATCCTCGGCAGTGTTCAAGGCCAGGTTGGACAGAGTCTTGGGTGACACGGTTTAGTGTGAGGTGTCCCTGCCCATGGGGGGCATGGCAGGGAGGTTGGAACTGGATGATCTTAAGGTCCTTTCCAACCCTGACTGTTCTATGATTCTAAACACTTCTGACATTCAAAAGATGTTTAAAGACAAGCACAGGGTAAATGTTTCAGGGTGGGAACAGTACAGACATTGCAGCTAAGAGGCTTGCTTCCAGTATACTCACCTTCCTCATTACCACTACCCACTTAAAAGTTACTGAGTCTCCTCCTATCCTTTCCCATAGAAACTACAAGTACCATGGATTTCGGCTGTTAAGTAGGACAAGAAGCTTACCCCAAATTAGTAAGTAGTGCTCATCTCCCATCGACTGACTGGAAACCTGTTTTTCCAACCTCTCATCTGAAACCAGGGGATGAAGCCATCACTACAGCTGTCACTTATGACCAATAAGGAATAAAGACAAGTCCACCCACGCTGCAGAAATAATGGATTGAAAGAAAGGGGACAGACATACTGAAGGCCATTTTGATAGGCAAACTTAATGCACTAAGAAGAGCTTGCCTATGCCATCATAAGGTAAAAAGGTATAAAACATGAGAAACCCCAGTCAACCTATCTGGCAGGAACCAGGGTGAAACAACTTCAGAAGAGCGTAAGTCCTAGCAGTAAAACTGCACCAAAAGCCACTGCTCAAACAGAACACATATGCTTCAAGGCATAAATGAGTAGTATTCCTCCACGTCAGAGTGTTCAACCCATATCACTAACATTGACTAAACCAGGACACCCACCTGTTGGCAAGCATATGCCAGAGAACACAAGGACAGGAGAGAACCCTGAGGAAGTGATGTATGTGCAGGTCAAAGCAGATAACCTGGATTCACAGCACTTTGTAAATAAAGAGTCACCATCAAACAAACTTGTTAGCCCTTCCCTCAGGTCACCTAAATGACTTGCCAAACATCTAAGGGTCAAAACTAGAACAAAACGGGAATGTCAGTGCTATATTATCTTCTGCAAACACCAGATGACATTGGCCAGAGAATTAGGAACCAGACAAACACATCCAGGTCCTTAACTTTGGTCAACAGGGATAAGACATCGAGAGTCTACATGGATTTGGGCCTAAATCTGCAGAAGGCAACAGCAGTCTATAGGAACACGATGCAGAAGATGCAACCATCGGCTCAGAGGGAAACACAACACATTTCTACTGGAGAAGCACACAAAGACCATCAGCGCCTGACTCCGCAGCCAGAAGGATGAGTTTCTCCCTGTGTCATCAGGCACCGTCCCCTGGGCCACAGCAGGGCGATTTCACCGTGCAGTCACCGGGTTTTGTCCAGCCTCAGGTGAAACGCCCCGAGCACAGCAGGTCTCCGGCGGGCCAGGGGATGAATTAGCAGCAGCAGCGGAGCTATCGCCCTGAACGGCAGCAGCGACGAGCTTCCTCCCGCACTTCAAGGGCCTGAGGCGGCTTCCCCCCGCCCCAGCGCTCAGCCAGCGGCCACCTCCCGGCTGCCTCACCCGCGGCTCCCGCCAGCTCTCCTGCCTGGGCCTCTCTCGCCACCCCTCCTGGTCACGGTGCCCCGGGACGCCGCCGCCACCCCCCCGGGACCGGGACTCCCGCCCCGCGGCCCGGCCCAGAGCGCGCTGTCACCGCGGAGACAGAGGAGAGGGGGGAAGAGAGCGCGACCCCGGGCGCGGGTGGCCGTGAGGGGAGCGGCCCCGCTGCTGGAGCTGAAGGGGCGGGACGAGGGAAGCGCCACGGGTGCTGCCGAGGGGCCCCCGCCGCTGTGGCAGCCCCGGCCCGGCCCCGCCGCACTCACCACGCTCCGAGCCGGCGGCTCCCGCTGGGCCCGGGCCAACGAGGAAGTGTGGGCGGGGACAAGCCCGCCCCTTCCCGCCTAACCCCCTGTTCGTCACTTCCGGCGCGTCTCACGCCCTCCCGCTCCCGGCCGCCTTTGGTAGCGTCATCCGCGGGCGGCGGCGGCGGCGTGGTGTGGTGTGCCCGGTGTGCGCGGGGCAGGTGAGCGCTGGGAGCGGGCCCGGGGCCTGGCGCGGCCTCGCCTCCGCCCCCTCCTGCCGCAGGCTCCAGCGGCCCCGGTGCGGTCGCTTCCGGTGCGCAGCCGTTGCCGCCGCAGCCCTCGGTGGGGCCGAGCTGGATGCGGCTCCGCTCCGCACCCCGGGCAGGGGCCCTGAGGTGAACGTGGGCTCTGCCTTAAACCCTCGGCGCTTTACCGCTTCTCCCAGCGTTTTTAAGCGTGAATTTCGCGTGATTCGCGGGTTTGTTTCTTTGCTCTGCTTCCCGAGACGTTGTTCGCGCACCGTCAGGGTGCTGTGGCGTTAGAGCTGTCGCTGGGAGCGGCTGTGGCCACGTACCCGGGAAGGCATCTCTGAACTGCTTCCCCAACGCGTGTGTAACGAGCACCGTTTGTCTCCACGCACCCGGGTGCGCGCTCACCCACTGGCAAACCCGACTAAATTCTGTTTTCCCCTTCTTTCCACAGTCAGTCTCCGGGTCCCGTCATGGATACCCTCTCCCAGCCCGGCCTCCTCAGTGTCATTGCAGGAGTTGCCTGCGGTGTGTGCCTGGGATGGGGCATTCGGGGGAGGTTCCTCCGGCAGCCCTTGGTGGGAGGCAGCGCGGCCGCCAGCAGCAGCCTGGGCAGCGAAGCCATGGGCGAGTCCGGGGAGTTCAAGATGGTGCTGATCGTCCGCAACGATCTGAAGATGGGGAAGGGTAAAGTAGCAGCACAGTGTTCCCACGCCGCTGTGTCTGCCTACAAGCAAGTGCAAAGAAGAAACCCTGAGCTCCTGAAGCAGTGGGAATACTGTGGACAACCGAAAGTGGTCCTCAGAGCTCCAGATGAGGAGACACTGATCCAGCTCCTGGCTGATGCAAAACACCTTGGACTGACTGTGAGCTTAATCCAAGATGCGGGTCGTACTCAGATAGCTCCAGGCTCCCAGACTGTCCTTGGGATTGGACCGGGACCAGCTGATGTGGTAGATAAAGTTTCTGGTCATCTAAAACTCTTTTAACTGGGGACCAAAGAAGTCTCAACACATTGGTATGTAGAGCTAAAATCCAGGTTTATGGATTTTTACTCATATGTTCTCTCATTATAAATAAAATAACCAGGTTTTGTAAGAGATTCCACGTTTGTTTCTCCAGCTTTTCCTCATTTTAAGGTGGGTAAAAAGATGCTGGGCTCAGTGGGGTTGAGGGAAGTAAAGCCAGCAACATTTTTGATACCTATAAGAAGGAACTTGGTGTATTGAAGATTCGTGCAACTGAAGATTTTATTCTAGGTTAATGGCTGAAGAAAAGCCTTTGTGAAGTTTAAATTAATTTGTCCCATATGCAAAAATGTCAGGTTCCTCCTCTCTACCTTAACAGAAGGTATTTTTAAAGAGAAATTCTTTAATTTGGAAAAGATGAGCTGCTGTAAGCAGTTAAAATTGACCCGTACAACTGGGGGTATGTAGCCACCTTCCTTACTCATTGAGTAACTGATGCAATAGATTGTAGCCAAGTTAAACTGGCTTTGCAACTGAGGCCTTAACAGGCTATAATCAGGTCTGCGGAACAGCTGTAAGCCTTGCTCCTTTCTGGATCTGTCCATGCAGCTGCTGCACTTGCAGTAATCTGCAAGCAGTTAAGCCAAGTTCTAGGCTGAATAAGCTCATATAAACAGCTTGTCCTGCAGGGACTAAATTAAATCATGTTTTACTTGGGATTAACAGGTTCTCCTGGGTATAAGGAAGCACGCCATCACAGCAGGTGTTGGGCAGAATTCAGAGCACACTGATCATGGCTCTGCAAATCCACTCTGCAGCTCCACTGTAGCTTAAACACAGTAAAAGGCAGGTTCCCTGCACTTGTAAGTAGGGGGACTTTGAGACTGTTTTTGAACAAAGCTATTTTGTGAGAATTCTGCACTTTTACAGCCTTTTAGCCATGTCTCACAGTTGTGAAATAGGTTGTAGAAGAAAATAGAAGGATTTGCCTCCATCAGTCAAATTCACAAACTCAGGGGAGCTGAAATGCAAGCATAAGCAAGCGTAACAAACAGAACAGGTTTTTGTACTGCACCTCTTATTTAGGCATAATACTTCTCAAAGACTGAGACTACTGACTGTAGATTTCTGCTCCAGACTGAACAAAAGCCTACACACACTTAGAGCCTGCGGCAGGCGAGTTGCCTCCAGGTGCCAACACCCATCATGACACTGCTGTTGCACTGACAGGACCCCAAAACCTCAGTTCAGGTTTCACAGGAGGAAGCAGGAAGGAGATGCAGCTACAGAGCTGGAACCTGACACTGAGAATAGGATGGCTCCTGGTTAAGAGACAGAAGTGCCTACAGCTACCACAAATAGGGCTCATTACACTCAAATATGACAGTATTCATAGAGAAACATTTAAGTCAATTTTATTTGAAGCTAAATATGTTTAAGGCAACTTACATACCTAGAACATGATCTCAATTTAACTGACATACCCTACTACAGTCCTAATCTATCACCTGGTCAAATATGCTGTAGTTGGCCACAATGCAGCCAACTATTGAAAAGTGCTATTTTCTTCTCTCTGGCATAATCTTTCTATAGAAAAAGCATTACATATTTTCTTGTATCACCCCCTCAGTGCAAGACACCACTACCGGTCTCCATTGCTGCTCTTCTAATGGCCCCTCATACCTTTGAATGTACGCACTTGCACGTCCTGTACTAGCACTGTAATACTTGGCTTGAGTTTGAAGGTCCTGTTTGAAAACAGTAAAGTGAAGCTACCACTATGCAGCATGTCCACAGTCCAGTAATTTATTTTTTAAACTGAGTAATTTCAAATTGCACAAACAAAACTGAACAGCAATATGCTTGAATTCTCTCTTCTGTACACTCAAAACAGTGATCTAAAACACCACAATATCCAACATACACAAACCTCAGGGCAGGGTTAGTAAATACACAGATTGGAATCATGGTGCTCTGTTCCTGAATGGAATGTCCCACAAAAGCACAGGATACAGCACAACATAAGGTCATCTGTTACATATGGAGTGAGCAAAAAGACACTAGCATTTTCTATATGCATAACTGGAAAAACCTGCATAGGTTAAGAAAAAAAAACTCCAACCAACTTGTACTCATTTTAAGTCAGGCAAGGTTGTCTGTACGCATTTTAAATTCTTTTTGAGCTATGCAATCCAACCAAGGCAGGATATGCTGATTAGTGTTGTCTCTTGTCAGCGGTCTTGCAAGGTCAAATACAATCTTCACTTTAGCTTTCTCCGAATATACAGTGATACTTAAATGCTGTTTAGAATAGACAGTACATACTGTAAGCTGCTCACATACAATGAACTTAAGATTCAATATTAGAGTGTAACACTATAGAGTGCAAATCAGAATCTTCACAATAGACTTAATGGTAATAAGCAGTCCTGCAAAAGCCCACTTGAACAAAGTCGTTTAAACTATTCCCCTTTTAAAGTCTAAATGACATGGAATGTGAAAAAAGATTTAACGTAAGTGATTCAAATAGTTTGCGCTAGAAAAAACAGTCCTTCATGAAGTAAAGGTTACAAGAACACGAGGCAGAACTCTTGCTTTTCCCTGTTATGAGTTAAAGCGGGGAGGGACGGTGGAAGTTTCAGTAAGAAAATACACTAGCTCCAAACTGACTTGTGCTGCATCTCACATGCTGTACCCAAAGCCAGGCTGCGGTTGCCCATATGGGGGTGCGGTGTAGCCATAGCCAAAAGGTGCTTGTGGAGGAACTGCGACACTGGGTCCTGCTGTCAACATTAGCTGGGGCTGACCTGGAAGACAGAATGGATTCATCTTTATTCCTTGGTACCGAGAGATCAGCCAGCAGAATGCCTGCAACCTCCTTGTAGACATTTGTATGCTTAACAGTAAGTCCCTATTGACCTGGTTTGGGGTCTTCAGAAGCCAGAATGGCCATTTTCCCACAAAACCTCAGGATGACAGATTCTATGGTTACAAATACTACACTGTGAAGTACCGGGACCCAGATTCTTGAATTCTGGGGTAAGAAGTTTAAGTTCTTAGACATCTGATGCTGAGAGAGAAAGGAACAGCTTCCTGCTCCTGAAGCAGCAAGTTCACCCAGTCCCAGAGTCAGTCTGGCTCTTAAAACAGCACTTCCTGCTCCAATTGCATTAGTAACTCTGCCTTGCTGAGGGCCAGAGCCCTATGCTAGAGTGAGCCTGATGCAAAGGCTTGACCCCTGCAGCACTGAAGCAGAGGCACCTTCCAGAACATTCTCATAAACTGCATTCACTACTCTGATAAGCAGCTGATAGTCAGACACTTACACTTCAGTAAGACAGCCCAACAGTTTGCAGTTTTTATAGGGTGGCCAAGACACAGCTCCAGCCTGGTTCACCCTTACAGTAGCCAGCAGCCAAACATTTTAAGAACATTAAGAGTGCACACACAACTGTTGCAAGATTTTTTGCTTTGACAGACAGTGTTGATTGGATTACTTATTGAATCATAGAATAGTCAGGGTTGGAAAGGACCTTGAGATCATCTAGCTCCAACCCCCCTGCCCTCAAGGCTCTTGTCACATTAGGACTCAGAACTAGGTTTTGTAACATCACACCCTGTGGCTTTATTGCTAATATTCCACACTTCTTGTACTGCTTCGCGGTGTGGAGACTAGAGCTGTCAACTATACAGCAAAGGCTCCTTTATTACTGGATAGAAGTCACATTCTTACTAGAATTAGTGGGATAACCTCAGTACAAAGGAAATACCCAAGACAGACAAAGCAAGCTGAGCAAGATTCAAATAACGCACTTGCTAGAAGTCTGGAATTATACAGCTTCCACACTCCTTTCCTTTAGGAAGCATTTCTTTAATAAGGTGGGACAATCTTAAATCCTGCAGCTCATACGCTCCTGCTAAAATTGGATTAGAGTGGTACTTTATCCAGTAGTTTGGAACACATTTCTTCAAGACTTGATTTCACACAAAGAACATTCCCATTTCCAAGGATACCCTTGGAAAAGCCGCAAGTAGAAGAGTGGTGTTTTTAAAGCAGAGCACGCTACTGACAACACATGAATTAAAGCATTACCATAAACAATAGGTTGTGTTTCTGTAGCTTGCTCCTCTTCCTTTCTCAAAGACTCTGATGCATCCAGTTTATCCACCTGGAATGGAAACCAACAATTAAAAAAACTCTTCTAAGAAGAGGTACTTATTCATGGCAGAGAAGTGGAAAAGCCTTAGTGGTATGTTAACACCCATCAAGAAAAGGAGACCATTTATAAGTTAAGATCAATTCAAGTAGCAATGTTGGTACTGGTGCAGTCAAGATTGTCCGTTTCCTGAACCCCTAATTGAGGGATTTGTGGAACTTCTTTGAAAGCTCACTCCAGGTTGAAGCTTAAATGAAAGGACTTGAGCTACTGCGACATCAAGTAAGCTCATCAGTCAGTGTGGCTCCAACTACTTCAAACCAACAGCCTTTGGACACAGATTTTAGCACAATGTCAGTTGGAGACCTTTGGCGTTGGAACAATTGCTAAGATAATGCCCAGACCTGGAGGAGTTTCCCTGAACATTGAGGCAAAGGAATCTGAAGTTGGTATTTGTGTACAGCAGACTGCAATAGCATCCGACATGTCACTTGAGCCTCAAGATTTCACTTTCCAAACTCATTCACTCATGCAATTTAAGTTCAAATGCAGAGAATGCATGTGTATAAGACTTGCTTTTTTCCACTCTAAAACTGTGTGGCAGTCAGCCTAAACCCACAAATACTCAACTTGTTTGAGCTTAATTCACAGTGACAAGACAAGACTAGCCAGCTTCCCTCTGCTGCACAGCAAGTGCCATTGTGCTGTTAAGCCCACCCCTAAAGAAAGGCAGGAGAAGAAACTTATTCTTATGAAATACTCCTTGCTACTAAAACAAATCCAGGGAAACTCAGCGTTACTACAGTGTAAGGCAGGCCCTGAAACTGAAACCACAAAAAAAAAAATAAAATCAAGAATTGGTATTTGACCTGAGAGGTAAGATTTAGAATTAAGTCAGAGACAATCATGCCAATTACTTTTTAAGACAGTAAGACAACTCACAAACCAGATTAATCTCTCACTTAATTTCCTTAACAAAGGAGTTTGAAGACAGGTTTCCTGCACTTACACAGGGTCAGCTATGCTAGCATTCATGAGTTGAACAGTTCTTAGCTTAACTGCTACATTAGCAAATACTTGCAGGCAGCTCTAATGGCTTTCTTCAGGTTAGTTGTGAGTTACAACATGTGTTCCAAGAACCTGTTAATCTGTAACCTCAATTAGAGGCATACATCCAGGAAGTGGCATAAGTCCTGAGCTTCACAAGTTCATTCATTGACTGGGCTTTCACAAGCCTTTTTGTTGCCTCACACCAGTATCTGGCTTGCTGCTCTCAAAGTGCACAGGAGTGTTTGCCAGTGCTTCAAGACTCATTTCCAGGCACCATGCTGAGAACTGCGCTGTGTTTAAGTCAAATAGCAACACACTCAACACAGAAGCACAAGTTTACAGATGCAAATCCAAGGAAAATGTGCAGAGTTTGCCACTCAGCAGAGGCATTTGGCTTACACACACTTGGAAAGTCTCCAGCCCAGGACATTTAATGCAGTTTTGATGCCTCCCCTCAGAGCTAAACAAATACTGACAACAATAAGCGCAAGTTTGAAACCAGCCTGCAGGATGGTTTTTACACCACTTGCTTGAGCATCACCAGGTTCAGTACCCTACAGACTTGTAGCAAGAGTGTTTTAAAGGCTTTTCCACAGGGACTGCAATAAGCTGCAGAGGAAAAGTAACATGCA